GCAGAACTTTCTGCGAGCCCAGCTGCGTCAACTTTGAACTTCCCTATTGTAAGCGTCCTGACTCAGTTGACAACCAATCGGGAACATGTAATTAGGCACAAGAGGCTCAAGTTCAGGAGCTTACTCGCGAACTACTACATAGTATCTAATTCAACTCAATGCCACGCCCGTCGATGCAGCGCCCACGATGCAGTTTCAGGCTTGAAGATATGTTTCTGAAAGCTCAAGTAGAGGTACAAATTCTACACAATTGTCATGGTCTCGGCATGGTCATCTGGTGATCAGATCTCTCCATATCCTTTAAATCGGCGCCAGTCAAAACGTGGTTTTCAACTTCCTGGTACCACACAACTGATGGCCCAAGCGAGCTACTAGTGATATGCAGATAAGTCGTTGACTCACCGGCTCTTCCTAGGCCCTCAGTGCCAGCTAGATCATCTCCGACTGTGAGTAATTCTACTAGTACTATATCAACCCAGATCGTCCTGATGCACAACTATGCTCTTGTCTGTACGTAAGGTATTGCCACAACTGGCCATATTGACTGCGGGATGAAGATAACTGTGTTGTCCGGATCCGCATCTCCAGTCCCCCTGGACCCACCCGTATTGTGCCTCGTATGCAGGCAGGTTGGCCACACCGTGCAATTATGCCCATATCTTTCTCGAGGCAGTCGGAGTGATAAGGATTCAGGAATAGAGCTTCCTGGTGAGCTCGAAGCTGCGCGCGAAGCGGCGGCATTTGAGACTCCTTGTTCTCTCACAACCACATCTCGAAATCAATCACTGTGCCAGAGATGCGCAAACCTCGACATTCTTGGAGCTTTCACAGCTTCTGCGCCCTTCACTCTCGCCGATAAATCTCCCGAAAGTGCTGCAACAAAGAAGGTTCTCCGCATGCGAAGTTTGGGACCTATTCTCACTCTTCAGCTACTCGCTACGTGCCCACTCTGTCGTCTTCTTTTTGACATTACCTACCTTGATAAGGCAGATCTCGAGAATGTCACGAGTCTGCTCAGGGGCCCTGGAGAAGGCGTGCTGCTGCTTGTACCCGCGTGGACCGCAAATCGTGTGGAGCGGGAGCTGCAATGGCCAAAATATGCGAAAGGAAAGGGTCCCTTTGCGAGGTGTCTGTATACTGCGGTGAAACCGGCATCAGACTCTTGGGCATGGGGGACATCGCTAGTGGACTGGGCCACAGACGCTATTGGGATAGAGGATCATGGACACGACAGAGCAGGAGCGCTATGTGTGAAAAGAGTTGATGCCCAAACCGCAGACTATAGTATGATGCGAGCGTGGTTGCATCGATGTGACAAGCTACACCATGCGACGTGCAGGCCGTTTTTGTCTGAAGGTCTGAAGAAAATCAAGCTCGTAGACGTGGAAAATTGCAAAATCGTTCAGTATCCTGTGGAGTTCTGCGACTACGTCGCGCTCAGTTATGTTTGGGGAGGAATCGTCCAACCAAGCTACCTCCTAGGCGACACACTCCGCGAGATGCCTACTACCATCGAGGACGCGATGACCGTAACACGGGAACTGGGAAAGCGATATTTGTGGGTAGACTCTGTCTGCATCGACCAGGCCAACCAGACAGAGAAGCTCGTGCAGATCGGACTCATGAGTGCTATATACAGTGGTGCATGGGCCACGATCATCGCGATGTCGGGGCAGTCTGCACGGAGTGGTCTTCCGCGGATTTCCTCACTCGATGGTGTGATACCGCAGCTATCGTACGAAATTAGTGGCAAGCAACTGCTCTCAACAATGCCGACCCTCTCTCAGCAAGTATCTCATTCACCGTGGGTGACGAGAGCTTGGACATTCCAGGAAGGACTCCTTTCTCCGCGACGCCTTTTCTTTACCAGACATCAGGTCTACTTTGAATGCAATTTGGTCCAATGCTGCGAGTCTCTGGACGATTCAGAATCCCCGATTCACGACCTGTCTGATGAGCAACGGCGAAACTTTGTAGACAATCTTGCTGATCACGAGTTGTCTCCTGAGCACGTTCTTGGTAGAGGGGTCCTCAGGGATCCGTTCAGGCCATTTCCCATCGGAGTCGGCCAGGAAGACCAGGAAGAAACAGGCATGGAGAATCCACTTCGAAGGTATATGAAGCTGGTTTACGCGTACACGTCAAAGAAGATGACCAACGATGGAGATGCAATACATGCATTTTCGGCTGTGCTCACACGTCTGCAGGACAACGATTTTGCGCAAGGCTTCTTGTATGGTCTTCCTCTCCGAGAACTTCCCCGCGCTTTGTTGTGGACCCATGTCAACGACAACGTCCGGCGCCGGGTCGGGTTCCCCGCCTGGTCTTGGGCGGGCTGGGAGGGGGTGGTCAAGCCGATTCTGGTCAAAGGAGCACATGGATTTGAAAAAACGAAGGAACCTCCATTGCGCATTTGGAAGCCAGGAAGTGATAGTTCTCTTGAATTACTTTATGAATTTAACCCGAGCGAATGGTCCGAGGCGATTGGAGGCGAACAGCATGATGACTCTGCCAGCGAAGATACAGATGATTGGGAAGATGACAGCGAAGACGAAGACTATGATAGTGTCGTTGAGAGTGAGCCGAGTGAAGGCAGTGCCCCGTCCTGGATTACATCCAGAAGTGAACCCAAGGACAATAGAGAGGAACCAGGAGATGATGAGAATGCTAGCGAGGAAGGTAATGGCTTCATCATGGGCTAGACAGACTAACTTACCGAATTTTCCTCTAGATTCAGCTATGTGTAGTTACCCCCCAGAACAGATTTCTCCACCTCGCTCTCCCGTCTCATTCTCTAGCGTGGACGAATCAATCCTTGAAACAGACCCTATCCCTGCAATAGCGAAAGCGATGTTCGAAGTTGATCCTAGCTATCCGCAGATTCCGAACTTAGACGATGACGCTTTGCTAATCGAGGGCATCATTATTCAGATCAAATTCAAGAAAACGAGTCCGCAATCATGGCCGGGTAGTGAGCGTATGCATCAGCCGGGGGATGTTGACGCGAACATAGAGGCTGACTCACAACAATGCTTGGTGGACCTCCGAGGCAGTTTTAGGGAATATCAGCTTCGGATATACGGGGGAAATGCGAAGATGGTGATCGAGGAGCGGCACGGAGCCGTTCAAGACTACCTGATTTTGACTCGAGAACATGACGGCCCTGACCATTGGTATTCTCTACTACTTCTTGAATGGGACGGCGATATAGCCCACAGAGTTGCTGTTGCTAGCTTGGGAATTGATTGGTATCAACCTGGGCTACTAACCAGTAGCATGAACGCCCATAGAAAGCTGTTCAAGCTCAAATAGTCGCGAGGATGGTCACGGTGAAGTGCCAGGGGTGAAAAATTATGGCCGTCTCACACTATTCTATCGTTGTTCAAGCAGATCGACTTCTGTATAATGTCGAATATTTTAGGGAGCTCGAGCTTGATATGAAGTACATAATTAATCACTGGGACCGGACGAAAGCCGCAATGCTGACCGCGCGCCACCGCTGATCGGTCCGTCCGAGCGTCTGACATCTTGATTTCGCCCGAGTCGTCGCTGAGCTTAGTGGCGAAATGCTTTCCTCTCGTCTTGCCCTCCGGTACGCGCGGATACTGCCTTTGAATTCTATTCCTCTGCATCGACATATATCGAGCATACGATTTTTACAAAGGCCAACTTTGTTGAATACTTCTATCCCAAGTACGCATATCTGGAATGCGAGGCGACGTGTATCAACAGAACCGCCTAAGGGGACACCGTCCTCCGGCACAAGTGATTCAGAGGGTGTCGTAGAAGCTTCTCCCATTCCGAATGTTCTCACATCTTCGTCAATGAAGTCGACATATCACGGTCCCCTTACGACGACTTTCCGTCGATTGAAGATATTCTCACTCTCGTCCTTGACCCTCACTTTTGTCATGACACCATTCATATTCATTATGGAGGCGACCTCCAATCTGCCGCTCGTGGCTCGCTTCGCACTGGCCGGCATAGCAATGACAACGAGTGGCGTCTCGACTGCCTTGGTTGCGTGGTGCGGGCATCCTTACGTGACAACCCTCCGATGGGTGAAGACTGATGGCGACGAGAACTCGGGCAGTGCGCAAGGGCTCGAGATGACCACGCTTACACTGGGGCTGCACGAACGCAATACACGTGTATATGATACTGCGTTCCTCGTCCCTACCAGCAGGCCATTTGCCACTTGGGAACTAGCAGAAGCGTTCCAGCTCCCCAGCTCCGAGGTCGAGCTAGCCAGAGGCCAAGGGACAATACCGGGTGAAGAGACGGTCGCGGAGACCTTCACTCGAAAAGGGGACGTCGTTGGCAGGTGGATCGTACGGTGGGATGAAAATGGCACTGGAACGTGTACTCAAGCCGGCAAGGCGATTCGGTACGTCCCTTTACTGCCATCACTACGTGGCACATATCTTGCCTGACACCTTATCGCTGGCCAGGTACTTCAATGTTCATCAAGAACTTCTGGATAGGCCGGTTTCATGACATCGGAGGGCTCCATTTGATGTGATTTTTGCTGTTCAATTTTTGCCATAATTTACCGCACTGTATGTTTCATCATAATGCCACAATCAACCACCTGGCCCCGTTGATTCTGGATGAGCTCATGGGGTAGCAATGTGGCGATTTGGGCGAAGTAAAGCTTTCATTCAGGTTTGCAGCTGCATCAACCATTCCAGCGGCTGCATCAGGGCTACAGTTCCGCACCAGCTAGCTCTTTCCCGAAGCGGAATCTTCCCAACACGAATAATCCCCAATGCTCGCCCTACATTCTTTACGATGTCCTCTACGCCTTGAATGCTCTCAGCACCTTGACTATTATTCAAATTGGAATAAAGGTAACTGGCGCGGTTCGAATGTCATCGCAATGTGGTTCATTACGATGTATCTCCAGTCTGTGATCAATCTGTAATTATCACAGATACGACAGCTTACCTAGCGATTCAAATTTGCACAAACTTAAAGCCACGTATATGTATTGCCACCGCCAGTTCTCAAGGTGAGTGTATCAATACTCAAATCATGATCTGTTGAATTCAATCCGGCCAGGTCCATCCAGCATTTTCAGCGTTATGTGAATTTGAAACATAAGTTGTGCTCATTTGACTACAAGTCGCAGACGACTGGTCGGATATCTTGGCTCCAGACTCTCTAGATTCGGTGATTTGACTTGCGAAAATTACACGAAAATTCCTCCAATTATGTGTAGCCACATTATCAGACGATACGGAATCAAAGTTTCGACTTCATCCCATCTGATGCGCCGATGCTATCATCTTGTGTCGCATTCCAAGCAAGATGCCCCATCGCGGGAAAGAACTTGGCGTATAAATGTGCTTTTTCTGAGCTTGCTTGTCGCCGTGCGTAGCGTGCTGCAATACCTTGCATAATAACCGCAAGCTGCGATATGTCAGCTCATATCCAGAACCAGTGGCTAAAGTAGTCGCACCCTGAAGAACATCCAGCTCCTGGCAAATACTATCTCTGATATGGGGTATGGCTGCTTTGTGAGTCTACAGTACTCGCGCTCGAGTTCTTCAAGAGACACGGGACCGCTCTCCGTTGTGTTCTTGAATCCAACTAATGCGCTACTAAATTCTGGTGTCTGGAATATCTTAGGATCGATTGACCAAGGCTGTGTCAGGTTCGCTAAATCGGCAAGCTTCATGGAAGGTTTTTTAAGAACTTTTTCACTGGCCTCGCGGAATATAAGCACAAGTTTGCTCACCGGGCTCCCGAGAGTACACAACTCCCAATCCAATATGCCTATGACCCGATTTTCGGTCGGGTGGAAGATCAGGTTGTCCAGCTTGTAATCGCCATGCACAACTCGCAATCCAGTTTTGTTCTCGTCTGGGAGGTTCTTCTGATACCATGCCATCAGCTCATCGAATAGTGGGATGTCACCCGTTGGTTTTCCCGTCTCGATATCTGTGACGGCAGCCTGGGCACGCGAGACACGGGTGAGCGACTTCATCTGTCGCGGGAAGTAAGGCGTCGAAGGCCCGAAAGTAGAGAGCCCCAAAGCACCCGGAGATAGGGAGGACAATGCAACTAAAGCATGAATTGCGGAGAGCCAGCTGTAGGTACGTGAAGAGATATCAAAGCATCAAATACGTTGAAACCTACCACTCTCTTCGCGCTGTTGGTGATATTTCAGGCATCCGAACATTCGTGAATATGCGTCCGTCGAGGAACTCCATAATGTAGAACGGCGTGCCAATGACTGCAATGTTCTCGCAGAGTATGATCGGCTCGGGAATGGGCACTCTCTGCTCCAACAGGGTAGCCGCGTTTATGTTGTGATTATGAAGCGCGTTTAACACCGCAAACTCTCTCTCAATCTGGTGTGCGGTTTGAGAGATGAGTTGTCCAGCAGGCTTCTTACGCAAGACGAAGCGTTTCGAGCTGCTGCGAGTTCGAGTAACATATAAGTACGAGGAACAAAAGCACGCACCTTGCATCCGTCAAAAAGTATGTTGGATTAGACTGAGGAAGTCAGACAGTTAGTCACTCCCCCTGGTAAGTGTTTCAATCTACCTGCCCAAACTAAATATTTGCGTCAGTATGTTGAAAGTATGACAAGGCTGAAGCTACACACCTTGAACTGCTTCACGTCCACGGGCGCCTTTATTCCATTGACGTGCTTCTCCAAGTACTCGCTCAGCTTTTCGACATCGATATTCGCTCGCACGGGCCCATACTCTCCTCCAATCTTCCCTGACTGAGACATGCTGTAGGTTGTAAGAAACAAGCAGTGCAACGCTCAGATTCGTTGTGAACCGACAAGTTGCCACCGTACTACAGACTAGACTGTTCCCTTGGATGGGATATGAATGCCGGTGTAGCCGAGAGTCACATGTTGCAAACAGGCTAGCGTCATGCTCTCAACATCCCGAATACGTTCAAACGTTCAGCGTTCAGCGCTCAATTTTTGGTCATTAAGTTTCGCCCCCCTGCACTATGTGTTGCGCAGCGCGCATGGATGCATAAAACACGAGATACTGTTCTTTGTACCGTAATCGCTCCGCTGTCCAATGTCTTTCGGTGGATAACACACCTTCCAACTCCGAGTCCGTACTCGAATTATGACATTGCAACTAGCTTATTCGTGGACAGGACCAGCGTTATCCCATGCTTCCGGTTGGCTGATGACTGTATCAAATGTACTCCAGGAGTTGCAGGTCCTCGAGGGACTATAATAGTAAACGTTATAAGTAGCCAAGCGCGAACTCAAGTTATCTATCCATAGCTCTCTATGTTATTATGGCAGGTCGTTCAAATGCATTGAAATTCATGGAAAATAAATGAAAATGGGACATTACGGGTATTAAGCTTCCGGAACGTTCCAGGCTGCCAGCGCAATGGAGACGCGCGGGGAAAGCCGGTGGCTGACGTAATATTATTGAGCATTCAAAATTTGAGTGCGCCGAAGCTTTCCCTTACTCACCTTTCCTCCCATCCTCTTTCACCATGCTTGCTACTGTCCGCTCCCTTCGTTCCGTTGCTCGTACTGGCAACTATGCTGTATGTTGCACACTTTGAAGCACTCGGGAAATGACTGACAGCAGTACAGGGTCTTCCTCGTTCCATGATCGCGAGGAACATGAACTCAAAAGTCAATGGTAGGTATACGTGTCCATGCAGATCTCCTCATATGTTAACGTGCGGCTTGCGTATTAGGCCCCGTTGTTGGGATTGATTTGGGCACGACGAACTCCTGCGTTTCCGTCATGGAGGGTCAGACATCGCGCGTGATTGAGAACTCCGAGGGCGCGCGGACAACACCATCAGTCGTTGCGTTCACGAAGCACGGTGAGCGGTTGGTCGGTTTGCCTGCAAAACGTCAGGCCGTCGTCAACTCGAGCAACACCGTCTTTGCGTTTAAACGTTTGATTGGTCGTCAGTTCAAAGATGCGGAAGTGAAGGCGGATATGGAGCACTGGTTAGTGCGCTACTGCATGCCCATATCGCAGCCCTTGTTTAATTCATCATTCTAGGCCTTTCAAGGTGGTCCCAAAACCCGATGGCCGGCCCGCAGTGGAGGTCGATAACGGTGGTAATAAGCAGTTATTCGTAAGTTCTGCCTTCCTATTGGACGACTAAGATCCTCATTCTTCTCTAGTCGGCTGAGGAGTTGTCGTCAATGGTTCTCGTCAAGATGAGGGAAACTGCGGAGCAATATCTGAACAAGAAAGTGAAGTGAGTCTTGCCACGTCAGACATTGGAACTCCACTGTCTAAACCCTTGTGTAGTCATGCTGTTGTTACTGTTCCTGCCTACTTCAATGATGCGCAACGGCAAGCCACCAAGGACGCAGGTCAAATTGCAGGCCTTGATGTCCTTCGTGTAATCAACGAGCCAACTGCTGCTGCACTGGCATACGGCCTTGACCGTTCTGATAACGCTGTTATTGCCGTTTACGATCTCGGTGGTGGTACCTTCGATATCTCTATTCTTGAGATGCAGAAGGGTGTCTTCGAGGTGAAGTCAACGAACGGTGACACTCATTTGGGTGGTGAAGACTTCGACATTGCCCTCGTTCAACATATCTTGAGCGAGTTCAAGAAGGAGTACGGTGCAGATCTCAGTTCGGAGCCCATGGCTATTCAGCGTATCCGCGAGGCTGCTGAGAAGGCCAAGATTGAACTTTCGTCCACGTCGCAGACGGAGATTAACCTGCCTTTTATTACTGCCGATGCTACGGGTCCCAAGCACATCAACCTTAAGATCTTGAGATCGCAATTCGAATCCCTCGTTCAGCCCCTCGTTCAGCGCACGATTGACCCGTGCAAGAAGGCGCTGACTGATGCGGGGGTCAAGGCAAGTGAGGTCAATGAAGTCATTCTTGTCGGTGGTATGACTCGCATGCCGCGCGTTGTTGATACTGTCAAGTCGATCTTTGGCCGTGAGCCCAGTAAGGGTGTTAACCCTGACGAAGCTGTTGCCATTGGTGCGTCAATCCAGGGTGGTGTCTTGGCTGGCAACGTCACCGACATATTGCTGCTCGACGTTACGCCCTTATCACTTGGTATGTTGCTTCGTGCGTCTTACCGTTTATGTAGCCTTATTCGCGTTATAGGTATTGAGACACTCGGTGGTATCATGACGAAGCTCATTCAACGGAACACGACCATTCCGACTAAGAAGACTCAGACTTTCTCAACTGCTGCTGATGGTCAGACCGCAATTGAGGTCAAGGTCTACCAGGGCGAGCGTGAGCTTGTTCGGGACAACAAGATGCTCGGTAACTTCAACCTCACTGGTATTCCCCCTGCTCCCAAGGGCGTACCGCAGATCGACATCACCTTTGACATTGACGCTGGTATGTAACATCAACTCGGTTTTTGCAGGTACTGACGTTGCTCCTTAGATGGTATTGTCCATGTGAACGCCCGTGACAAGGCGACGAACAAGGACCAATCGATGACAATTGCTTCATCATCTGGCCTGAGCGACAAGGACATTGAGCGCATGGTCTCTGATGCTGAGCAGTATGCGGAGTCGGATAAGGCAAGAAAGCAAGTTATTGAGGAGGCGAACAAAGCCGACTCTATCTGCTCCGACACTGAGAAGGGTAAGTATCGGGTGGTTGTTCTTTGTAGTAGATATTTACTTGATTTTCCAACAGCGATGAACGAATTCAAGGAACAGCTCGATGCGACTGAGAAAGACAAGGTTACGAAGCTCGTTGCCGAGTTGCGTGAAATTGCTGCCAAGGGCCAGGCTGGTGATGCGTCGACCACTGCCGACGCCATTCGCGAGAAGATCAGCGAAACTCAGCAAGCGTCACTTGGCCTCTTCCAGAAGGTTTACGAAAAGCGCAACGCTGAGAATGCTGCCAACGAGTCGACATCTTCTGAGGAGAAGAAGAACGAGGAGAAGAAGGACTAGGCTCTTACTCCATGCTTCTTGTTGTCCCTCTGCCACGCCGTCGGCCTCTTGGTCGATCAGTCGTGTTTACTTGCTGTCCCTGCCTCATCTTGGCGTCCTGTCCTTTGATTGCATGCACCATAGAGCCCGTAAAAGTAATGATACGCATCCTGCTACCTTATGATCATGTCGTACAGACTATTTTTCACGTACGTAGTACCTAGTACCGTTCGGCTAGCCCCCACTCAGCATCGCCTCCCTTCACTGTACTTGTTCCCATAATGAGCAACATGAACTTCATGGAATGGTTTAGGTTGATCTTCTGATCCTCTGGTGTCTCCAACTGACTTCAAGCTTGATGCATCGTCTTCTCCAGGGGTATTGCTTAAGCTTTTGTCGCATTTTCCTATGCTCGTAGGTGGGATGAATGATCGACTCTGATTTGTATGGAAACAGGGACAGACATGCTCACGCCACAGGCGGATCACGCGGCATGCCTTGGCCGTCGCTGGCCAAGTATAGAGACCTGTCCTAGATCATAGATCGGTTCACAGTTCACCTGATGGTTCGCCCTGCGGGAAGGGATCGATCCCTGGGTTGATCGCACACTCAATGAGTCTGTAGTAGCATACATTATTTATTATAAAGCAAATAACATCACAAGCCGAGACTAGTACAGTGTATGTACAGTGAGGAAACAAGATAGAATGCCGCCGCGGTGCCATCAAGTTAGAGCGCATTACATGGAATACGGAGGCGAAGTCAGAGACGCATCGTTGATACCGTCGAATGAAATTGGCGATGCGGACATGGGGGAACAGGAGAAGAGCACAGGCGAAGGCAGAATCTCGGCGCAGCTTGAACTACCATCGCCGCTCGGGGTGTGCGTCATCCACTCGTGTTCCTTCCTATGGACGAGGGAGGGAACGCGTTGCCGAGATTTTTGATCGTTGCAAAGATTGTCTCCGGGGTGTGCGGGCGCTGCGCAAAGTTGGCCTCCTCGCCCCCGGCTCCAAAGGATTGCTTGTGTAGCTTGTTGCAGACGCTGTCGAAGAACATGCTGCCGATACCGCACGACTCGCCGCGGTGCTTGATGACAAAGTACTTGTAGCACTATTTCTTGGATGTTGGGTAGACTGCCATACTGAGCGGATCACAAACCGCCTTGTGTGCTGTAGGAGTATTTTGGGTCCTCGTAGAGATACGAGGGTGTCAAGTAGCCCCACTGCCGAAGCGCCATGCAACAAGACCCCTCACATGCAATGCTCTTGCCCTTCTCCTGTGACCCCTCTCCTCCGGAATGGGCTCTGTGATTTCGAAGTAGCAGTAGTTGACATGCATGGTAGGCGCGTAAGGGTTGCGTGGGGTGGACAATGAGGCTGATGCCAGCCGCGAAGAGCAGGAGACTGCCTTCAAGGTCCTTAATCGAGTTGTGATGCATCACCGCACTAACCAACAGGGGCGAAGTCAGAGAATCGCATGAGCATTGTTGATACTGTGACTACAGCCTGAGGCGGAACCAAAGCGGAATGGATCCATGGATCAGAGTTACATTTTACTCAAGCCATATAGTACCAGTCTCCTGTAGTAGTTAGTATACAGTTCTTGAGTCGCGGCGCGAGGACCTGTCTGACTCAACCTGCCACTGGTAGTGCAAGCTGTCTTTCGATCCAACATTAATCTTTTGTTTTTGATAGATCTTGAATTTGTCTTGAACATTCATGAATTAGATACCTTTCTGGTATGCGTGCGCAGCCTACACAAGCTGCTACGATGAAGAGGCACCATGCTGAGACAGGCACAGCGGGGCCCCGGCTTCCCGTGCTTCTCCTCAGGCCCCAGTGGTGGTCGTCCAGTATCTCCCAACTCCTATATCACATTCTTCAATTCTCTCGACGTCTACGGCGCGAACAGGAATATTCAGAAAGCAGACGATGAACAAAAACGCATATCCAGGCTCGCCAGAGAAGACACGGGACAGTCTGTGAGTCGCTCTCGGTCCGGGGTTTATCACATCGCGTACGCTGACCCGGTCGCTCGGACAGTCTGCCCAAGCTCGTGTTGAGGCCATGGATCAAGACGACTCCACCAGCGAGCCTGCTGCTGCGGAACGTGCGCGTCGTCGAGCCCTCAACATGCAGCATACTCCCGGGCTTGTGTGATGTGCGCACGAAGGATGGGCACATCGTCGAAATCACACCTAATGCTGCGCCATTCCCAGCTGGGGACGAGGCTCATGTAGTCGAAGTCGACTTGAAGGGGAAGTTCCTATGTCCGTGCGTTCTTCGTCGTTTGCTTAGGGATGCGGATCCTGATGTCCTGATGTGCCCGTAGTGGTTTGGTTGATTGTCATGTCCATATCGCAGCAGTTCCTGGAGTGCGGTCGCTCTCTGAGCTGGCCCGAGACCCACCAGAGACGGGTCATCTTAGATCGACATATGCGCTGAGAGGTGTGTCTAGTCGGAAGTAAGCGTACTGAAGCTGATATCCTCGAAGAGATGTTGCTGCGCGGCTTCACCACCGTCAGGGACACCGGTATATACGCATGTGCTCCACCGATCGCAGTTTTTTGATTTCCTGTATGTAGGCGGTGCGACCAAAGCCCTGGCCGACGCCGTCACAGAAGGCCTCATTCTCGGTCCGCGAATCTATCAGTGCGGTCGGGGGCTCTCCCAAACAGGTGTGCATGGGTTTTTTTTCGAAGTCAAGTAAGCTAACGACACCTCCAGGCGGGCACGGGGATATTGGCGGCGGTTGCTGTGGTGGAGGAAACGGTGTTACGCTCGGCCGTGTCTGCGACGGTGTCCCGGAAGTCTTGAAGACGGTCCGTGAGGAACTGAAAAGTGGTGCAGACTTCATTAAAATTCACTGTGGCGGCGGCGTCGCATCTCCTACGGTACGGATTCTGCTGGCATAAAGCTTTATGAAACTTGACCGGCCGGCATGCTCCCAGGACGCGATCGAGACGGTACAATTTACCGCCGAAGAGATACGCGCGATCACGACGACATGTACCCAGATGGGTGGAAAGCCTAGTATGTCCGTTCCTCGCTCTATATCATTCCACATGCTCACACAGATTCACGCATATAGCAACTGCGCACGCTTACACGGATGCAGCGGTACGGCATGCGATCGCCAACGGCGTGACAGGCATCGAGCACGGCAACCTCATCAGCGCGGATACTGCCAAACTGTATGCTGCCCCATGTCTTGCATAGATATATGTTTTGATCGCACTCGTATCTACAGGATGGCTGAGAAGGGCGTCTTCCTGACCCCAACGTTGGCTTGCTACGGCATCATGGTCCGCCCGCCGTTTGAGGATTACCTGCCGCCGGAGGGAAAGGTCAAGAATGAACAGGTGATGGCCAAGGGTCTGGAGGCCCTCAAAATCGCGGATGAGGCGGGAGTCACAATCTGCTAGTGTGTTCTCCTGCTCCACAGTAGTCATCTTCCGCTAATGAGGCTCTATGTTTCGAAGTGGATCTGATTTGCTCAACTCGCTGCAGGCGCTTCAAACGGAGGAGGTACTGTGATTATGTACCATGGTGTGCGTCAGCGATACTGATCACTCTCCTCAAGTTCACCGTGCGCGCATCCGTGCTGCCCTCGCCCAAAATCCTACAGCACGCGACAACTAATGCCGGTGCGTGTTGACACTCATGGTTTAAGTGGGCTATGTACTGACCAGTGCCATAGCGAAACTGCTCAGTAACCCAAAGATAGGCTCGATCCATGTCGGTGCACACGCCGACATCATCGTTCTAGACGCCAACCCCCTCGAAGATGTCACCATTCTGGACTACCCGGAAGACCATCTGTACGCAGTAATCAAGGGTGGCAGTGTAATCACGAGCCGGGTGGAGGGATTGCCTGCGTCGAGTCTATTTTGAAAGAGAGTGAGCTAGGCATAGTAAATTATGCATATATTATGTGTTGGGGAGGGAGGTGGGTGTGCTGAAGAAACTTGATTGCAAACAGTGTGTATATGTTTCTTGCCACGGATGCTGAAGATGATTATAGTCAGATTTAACATGCGGAAGTACCATTTATCTCAGGGCTCAGTGATCCAATAACAAGAATATAAGTATCCTTTGAGAGAACGACATGTCTGCTGGATAGACCATAATCAACGGATGCATGCATCGCGAACATTTGAGGCGTAAATTCAATCGGGGGTTGGGTGTTTGCATCACCAGCGTGATTATATTGCAAGGGTCATGTAAACCAAAGCCTGCGGTGAAGAATGTTTCGCTCACAGGAGTACAATTGTATTTCAAAATCGACGCATTTCCATTCCAGAAATGAATCCTCAACCTCTGCCTATCCACTTCTATGCCACTGGCGCAAGCCCCCAATCTATCCAAGGTGCCTTGAGCTCGCGCGGGTTGCACGCAAGTTTGACGCCCCAGGTTATAGCATAATGATCAAGGACAAGCTCGAGCTCCTCGATCTCGTCCAGCATCTCTAGCGCGGCGATACGCTCCTGTTCCTGTGGTGCGACGTACGCGCGGCGGATCTCGCGTAGGGTGAGGGCATGTGCGCGCGTGAAGCCGTGCTGCAGGAAACGCGTTGGGAGCGATGCGCGCGTGGGGTACGGCTCTGCGCCAACGAGCGTGACGTTGCGTGCCTACGCGGGCGCATGAGCCGCATTACAGAACGGCGGACGGGATACGCACTTGCAGGTTGGCCCGCATTACCCGCCCAAATGCGTCTTCGAGGCCGAACATCTCATACACGACCGCACCGAGGACGCAGGGCGTGCCCGAGGGCGCGTGTGGCGACGGAGAGAAGAAGTCGACGAACCATTGGATGAGTGCGGCGGATGCGGCGGGGGTCATGTAGACAAGCACGCACTCAAAAATGAGGAGGGTGGGAACGGCAGGAGAGAGGAAAGACGCAAGAGGCGCGAGGACGTCGGCAGGGGGCTGGCGGAGGTCCGCGGGGAGTAGATGGTACGTAGGCGCGTGCAGCGCGGTCCCTCCATGAGCTGCGTGAAGTCAGACCGGGCGTCGAATGGAGTCGGTGTACGCACACAGAGACACGCTATCAGGGCTTCCGAGCACGGCACTGAGCTCCTTGCTCTTGCGGATGGCCATCGCTTTCTTCGTGGTAACCGCGGGGAAGTCGAGCTCACAGTACGCCCGCAGACAGCCTTTGCGCGGATCTGTCTGCTTGGGTCGTCGCCGTCAAGCTGCGGCTGCGAGCGCAGGGGCGAGCGGGGAAGGGGGAGCACGCACCGCGAGCCGCCAGAACCGAGTGTCGCTCCCTGCGCCGAGGCTCACGATCTGGCACTGCGAACTCTCCTGCTCGGCGAGGGCGAGCCAGCGGTCGACGAGGGCGTCGATGCCCTCGGAACGCACATAGGTGCCGATGTTGATGAGGGGCGGGCGAGGGGGCTGGAGGTGAGCACGAGGGATGAGGTGGCGGATGAACGGGTCGTCGAGATAGCGTTTCTGGACGGCGGAGAGGCGTGCGAGAGCAGCATCCGAGTCGGTTTGGCGAATGGCGGCGTCGGCGTCGGGGGGTGTTTGCTCGCGATGCGGAGGCAGCATCGGGGTCGACGGGGAGAAAGAGCACAAACAAGCGCTGGCCCTCCGAGCCGTACGGGGTTTCCCGATTGAGGCGTGTCCCGAACGTCTTCCTCCCCGGCGAGCGCAACAGCCCCGATGGCCTCAATTCCCCTCGTTGCGCCCGTCTTCCCTGCGGGCAAGGAGCCGCTCCCCCCTGGTGTCTCAGAGGAGGAGCGCCAGAACTTTCTGCAGGCAAAGAAGTACCAGGACTACATGAGCATGGGCATGGAGTCGTGTGTCGCGAAGACAGTCATCGCCGGCGCAGGAGGTCAGTTTCCGTCCCCACCTTCTCCCCTCTGCTCTCGCAAACATGTGCTGGAAGTTACCCCCCACCCACAGGCCTTGCCATTGGCGCATTTTTCTCGCTCATGAGCACGTCGTTCGCGTACGAGGACCCCCTCCTCCGCCAGCAGCACGGTGCGCTCAGCCGCACACAGAAGGCCTCTGAAGTGTTTAAAGAGATGGGTCGCGGCATGTGGCGCAGCGGAAAAGGCTTTGGCAAAGTCGGTGCGCTGTTTGCGGGGATCGAATGTGTGATAGAGTCTGTGCGTGGGTCTCTAGCATCGCTGGCAGCACACGCTGACTCGCCCCATAGTATCGCGCGAAGAACGACATGGTCAACCCTATTGCTGCTGGCTTCGTTGCAGGCGGCGTACTAGCCCGCAACGCAGGTCCAAAAGCCGCGTTCGGTGGTGGTCTTGCATTCGCCGCGTTTTCTGCTGCAATAGATCTCTTCCTTAGAAGAGAAACCCCAGAGTCAGTGTATGCAGTGTTTTCTCGTGCGCCCTCACTAATTCGCAGCCCAGTGAGGATTGATAATGCCACGATTTGTACTGACAGGATTCATACACATAGACTGGCTAGCCACAAAGTAACGTACTTGTGCATACTAATTGCTGACACTTGCATAATCTATTGGACATCACTCTGCAATGGATCTTCGGGCTTCGTAAATTGATGTCGACACAACAATACTCTATGCTATCTTTTTCGACGTCCGACACCATATGCCGCCCACAGTGCGCTGAGTGCTAATCCGTCGTGCAAGATACACGCAGATATTCAATCGTGCAGGGATTCGAGCAGTATTATGTTGAACGAAGATGGTACCAGCCGGTCACGATAATCCGCCTTCTACACCGTGCATTGCTGATCCGAAAGCCTCAGAGGCGGCGGATGTCCTGTCACAGCAGAACGTTCAATGTTAGGCCACGGTTTATAGGCTGCACAGTTCGCGTGGCGCGCCTCTCCGAGGATAGGCGACCATCTGCCCGACTCACCAAGTGAGCGGCTCTGCGTGCTGATTGGTGCCCAGCCAGACCATACTTGAAAAACCGAATACACGGATGAGAATATTAATTTCCGATTCGTATTCCTACATACAGATGTTGCGCTTCTTACACCAACAGCGGTGCCGTTCCGACTGCTTCCGTCTGCTTCTCATATTCATCGCGACACCAGCGAGCGGGAGGAAGAGGCAGACCCAGCGGTGGCTAGTACATTTCGAGACTCATCCCGTCGTGGATCTCGTAATCCGAGAGTGTGATGTGGTCCTTATATATCGTATACCTGCGGGGCGGCAGGCAAGATACTCAGCGATGAGGACGTGAACGGAACCTGCAGCGCACCATTTCTTGAGCTGGATCTTGGTGTGATCCGTGCCTGTCTGGGCCGCGATGAGTTTCTTGAGGTCGCCCACGGTGTCGTCTGGGCTGCACTTTACACGCACTATGCGGACGCAGCGGGGATGGTGAGGATGTGAGGCACAGAGCAGGGCGCAGGGCGCCATACGTACCTTTGCGTCCCAGACGGTCGTTCGCGATGACCTGCGGATCGTGATAGATGGACCGCGGACATCGAGCGAGAGCGAAGTGATGGTTGAGGAGAGGTAGACGTCAGTTCGTGTACCGGATGGGGACGGCAGATAATACGCACTTCAATGAGAGGCATGGTGGGTGCAAAGGGCGAGCACAACGGATGTGAGGTGCCGACCTGCAAGGACGATAATTAATGGTTACGTAATAGGATTAACAATGAAGGAAAGACTGATTATAAGCACGACTCTACGGATGACGTCGAAGAACGTCTTTGAGACGCAATGGATCCATTACTCAGCACAGCGCACTAGGACACTTATCCTCCATCGCATCTGCTTGTCTGCATCCACTCGCTACCATGGGCATTCCTGACGAAGACATCCACCCCGTCGCAACTGGTGCCGCTGCGGAGACGGTTGCAAAGCACCAGGAGCCCCAGGACCTAGTCTTCTACTCTGGATGGGTGTGCACGCATGTTCACCTAAAAAATTGCCTCTCTGACCTCTTCACAAACAGTTTTGTCCCTTCGTCCAGCGCGCGTGGATCGTCCTAGAGGAAAAGAACATCCCATACCAATACAAAGAGGTCAATCCCTACAAGAAGGAGAAGCACTTCCTCGGTACGTGCACACGGTCTTTCCATCTCCTCCTGCTGACCGCGTACGACAGAAATCAACCCGAAGGGTCTCGTCCCTGCCATCGAGTATGGCGGCAGGGCGCTCTACGAGTCCCTCATCATCTGCGAGTTCTTCGATGAGCAATACCCGCAACACGCGCCCGCCCTCTATCCGCGCGACCCATTTGCGCGCGCTAGCGTCCGCCTCTGGCTCGATCACGCCGCGAAGCTCGTCGTTCCCGGCTTCCACCGCATACTTCAGGCGCAGGGCGTGGACGCCCAGCAGCGCGCGCGCGATGAGTACGCTGCCGCGCTCCGCACGATCGCGGAGCAGGCACAGGGCCCGTACTTTCTCGGCGCGGAGTTCAGCATTGTCGACGCCGCCATCGCGCCGTGGGCTGTACGCGACTACATCCTAGCGGAGCACCGCGGATACTCTCGAGATGCCGTTGGCGAGAAGTGGAAGCGATGGGCGGAGGCGTTGGAGACCCGGGAGAGCGTGGTCAGGACGAAGAGCGTAAGTGCTGCTGGAGCTCGACTTTGTATGAGTGCTCATTCATATTCTGGTGCAGGACCGCGAGCACTACGAGCCGATCTATGGTCGGTACCTCCGCGACGAGGCGCAGAGCGAGGCGGCGAAGGCCACTCGGGAGGGAAGGGTCATCCCGTGAGGCGTTTTGTTTGGGAGTGTGAACTGACTAAAGCAGATCATAGATAACTAAGTCTACATTGCAGAGCTGTCCCTATAAGGTGTATATAGGGAACAGGAGGGCAAAACTAAGGTACAAAGCTGTAGTAGCTACATCTTAAATATAGAGAGACATCAGAATGACATAGAGTTCTGTTGAGGTAACTAATGATGTATCAGCTGATAAGTTGAATCAAGAAACTCATAGATTGAGATAGAGGAGATGACTACTGAAATGAATCAGTAATATGAACAACAACAGATAGATAGAGATAAAGTGCATCAGTGAAATGGACTGTAGCTATAGATAGATTATTCAGGGTCAAATGAGGATAAGGCAAGAAAAAAGAGAAACCCCTCCTGAGACTATAACATCTACCTCATTTGCAAACACAACACACACCAGATGCTGACTCTGATCTGACAAAGAGACCACTGGTGTATATTGACTGGTTCAGGCCTTTTCATGCTTGAGAGAAAAATACACTTTGATTTACAGTTGCATGCTCAACCTGAAACAGTGGGCAGCCACTCACTGTAATTGTACTGCTCACCTACATTCAACAAAGCTGCTATCTTGTACCTCAGTTTGGGACAGCTATAGATCATAGTTGGTCAAATGTAAATATTCTTTCTGAGCATCCCATCTTCTACTTAAACCCATGGATTAGTGTAGATGATTTTCTTGCAATTCAAGGTGTTGTTTGTTAATTGAGTTGAATTCATGCTGAATGGAGTGCCCCAGGCTGACATACTATAGTATCAATAAAACTAGAACTGTATTAAACACAAGCTATGCAAGTCTACAGCTATACTTAAGTGTCTATAATATGAATATCTGTTCACAGGTACCTATAGTGTCTATGCTCATTGATTGGTGTCTATAGTGTCTACATGTGTCTATGCTGAATGACCTATTCTATGCTTGCTACAGATACCTACATTTTGACCCCCTTCTATAGATGACTACAGTATAACAGTCATGCTACCATAGCAGTAACATTTCCTGATGTGAGACTGTAACAGTGATGGTTCAGGATTGGAGGCTTGGGATAATGTGCCTCACTTCTCCAAAGCAGCCAGGCATTCAAGGAGAGCTTTGCATTGATTTTCCTGGTCAGGGAAGGCAATTACAACTTGATCTCTTGTTCCTCTGATGTGGCACTTCTGAGGCATAACAAAGTGATTCCCTACATAGGGAATTACCTTCTGAGCATCACAAGTCTGGTGTTTCTGTCTCTTAGGAGGTGTTGGAGGGTGTGGTATAATGTAATGATCCATGGTGCACAAGGGGAGAGACAGACAGCAACAACTTACAGGTGACTAGAAAGCCAGAAGACAAAGACAGACTGATGCAAATATAGTGAAAATAAAAACAAGCAGAAGCCTGATGGCGGACAGGCTTTATTCTTGACGGTCGAGGAAGCCTCTATGGGTATACATGAGATGCTCACTGCGATGGCTAGTGAGGGTCGTCAGACGGTCAATGGGAGGTGCCGCAGAGCCGCATGCGAGCGTCGTGGAAGGGATCTAGAGTGCCCATATTTCCATATCAGGATGCGGGCCAGACGCATCTTTGAGATGGAGATGGTTTGACCCATTTCCCACCAGCCCGATCGTGGTCTATGTGATATGCTCCCTTGTTACCTTAAGTGGGGGGTGAGGTGATGTACATAATTGGTCGAACACAGCAGAGGTTTCGGGGTTATGCTCTGGATGGTAAATTCGGCGCTGCCTCCAAGAACGTTATTATCGACAGGAGAGTATGTAGCCTATAGAAGAATGCATAATGAGCTGTGTCTGTACTATGTGAGATCCAGGCAGCTTTCATCGACCCAGGCGCAGGATGTGAATGGAAAAACGTGAACCTAGTTAGCCCTTCCATAGTCGACAGCCTCCTTTGTCCAGAGCCCTCTTGATTTTTGAGTCCCGTCGGTTGGGCGCAAGAGCGAGGCAGGTTGGCACGTTCTCTGGCTGCTCGATCCAGAGATGGTGCGGGATGGGTGGGTCGCTGGCCGTGAGGAGTGAGCTGAGGCGCTGGATACTGCCCTCATCAGCCGTCTGGTCCCGTCGTGGCAGATCGTCAACACGGCATAGCACAGGGATGTTGTTGAAAGAAGTACCTGAAGGACGGACTAGCGGGAGAGGATGAGGATTGTCCAGCTGATGGTGAGTAAGAAGGCGCGAAAGACTATATGCGCGCACCTTCCGCATGTTGGTAAGATCTTGAAGGTATACCTGTGTATCTGGATGGTCGCGAGTTTCGTGGAGGACCTAGAAGGGCTGCATGTAAACTTACTCAGACTCCCGTGGGTGAGGACTCACAGCGGCGGTGGCATGGGCGACCTGAGCCATGAGAGGACCTACTCCCCATCCTTCTGCCTGTAGCAGCAGTTAGCGTTTAGATGTGGAGACGAGGGATGGGCGTACGTCAAGGAGGTCTCGCCGGACGACGATCTGCATGACGAGCGGCGGGGTCGACGCGGCCGAGGAGACGACAGGGGAGTTGTGCATCGAGCTCATGCGCGGGTGGAAGAGACGCATGGGGCGGACAGTCGCCCGCCTGTTTGCTTTCCTGTTCCGGCGACGGAGGAGTTTGTCCGGCGAAATATACGTCGGTGGCACTGGCGCCGCTCGCCCACTTCCATTTCTGGCAAGTGCCTTTCCCGTTCTGACCGGCCCTTGGGGACACTGGCAAGTCCAACAAATGCTTGGAGTTCTTGCCGCATGACTATTTAGAGTCGACCCAAGTTCTTTTTCCTACGCCTCATTCTTGTCCCTCCCCATCACTCGTCGATTGGGCGCCGCTTTGTCCGCGAAGGTGCTGTCGAGGAAGAAGTAGCGAGAGGACTAGCTACGCACGTCTGCGGCCTGTGTTTCTTTCTGTGAGGTGAACACGAGCCATCTCAGAACACGCATTCACGGAGTCGGAAGAATCGGGTCCCCAGACGTACGAGCCGGGCCTGGCTTCTTGATTGCTTGCATGTGGAAGTTGTGCTCGCTGCCGGGAAGAGGAGGCAGAGCCGGCCAGGACCGGTTTTTGTGTATCGGATCGTGATCCGTCTGAAATCTGGTCTGGATCGGTCAGGCACGCTTACCTCCTCCTTCGCTATTTGAGTCGGGCGCTCTCAATTCACTCGCTGTATTTCTCCCGCTCTCTCTCATCCCACACATGCCTACTGCCACAAAACCACCTCAAAAGAATGCTCTCGACATCCGCCTCGCAGAGTCCGTGGTTCTTCTTCGCGCTGGAGATGCCACTGGTCGTCTGCGCAACATGCAAGCCGACCCGTCCCCCGGCATGCTTCGCGGTCTTTTAACCCTCACCCTCGCAAAGCCGACGCGCATCTCCAGCATCGAGATTGAGCTAGTGGGAAGAACGAGTACGGCCTGGCCAGAAGGTGCATATTGCCGCCATTTCTGTTCCTTTGTTTTGCCTCTCACACACCTCGCTGTGTAGGCGTCGGAGCCCGTCGCATCGAAGTCACAGAGGACCACGAGATATATTCCCAGTCCTATGTCCTTTTCCGCGCCGGATCCGACACCCCATACAAGCATTCCCGTCGCACGCATTCCGTCGGCCCTGGACTTGCTCTCGACCATGAAGACGACGACCATGACAATGACCGTGACCATTCGGATCACTCTAGCGACGACCAACACATAGAACGTCACAGGGCAGATGCGACAGCTGAGACGCGGGGGAGAGACTACGGCGCGATATCAGCGGGCACGTATAGGAGACTCGAGCGGCGACACCAGAGCGTGGACCACACCACCTTCAATCGTGAGTTCGTCGCGCACCGCGTCCGTGCCGGTTTCCCTTCTTCGCATTCCCCGCCATATTCCCCACCCTACTCCGCCGAGAGTACTCCCCAGTACCCGTTAAGTCCAAGCGCGTCCGTCTCGCATCGCATGCGCACGGTTGAAGAGTCGCCCTCGTATGAGTCGTCGTCGTCGTCTTCGTTCCCGGAGGAACTCGGCCAACGAATATCGGAGCCGGACACCGAACACAACAGTACGTCACTTTTCTCGCCATACTCCGGTCTACCTGACATGTCTGACTGTCACGCTCATAGGCGTGGCATCCCCTCACCGCATGCAGCACCTTGCGCGGCTAAGTTTGCCATCATCGTCTAGTCTCCGGCTTGATAGCCCATCCGCGTTGACATCCGCACGCGCCAGTATCGACGAGGACCGCCCTTTCGAATTCCAGCATGGCCGCAGCGCGAGCCCATTATCGTCTCCGTCTCCTCGGTCTGCGTCCCGCTCGGTCGCACGGGAACCATCACGCTCTTCTGACGTGCGGGACGGAGACGATGCTCGCGGGCGAAAACACAAACGGTTCAGCCTCGCAAACGTGTCGAATGCGCTGCTCGATGTCGTCATGGACCGTATGCGCTCGCGTTCGCGTTCAGCAATGATAGGCCTGGATGTACATGAAGGAGATGTCACCCCGCCGCGCGGGCGGACACGGGAGCGTAGCTTGGATCTTGTCGATGGGCAGCAGCAGCGAGAGGAGGCGCATCGGGAGCGGTCGGCACTGGAGCGGGTTGGGGCGGTGATTGGGCTAGAAATGGATGACGAAAAGGAACATGGAGATGGGTGGAAGGAGTTCCGCAAAGGTGCGTGTGTGAGTAATGGTGAATGATACGTCTGGCTCACTGTATGCGCTCAGGCGTGTACACATACCCAATATCGTTTGCAATTCCTGCTACTGCACCCCCGTCACTAAAGTGCGACTATGGCTCGGTAACATGGAAGCTCAAGGCGCATGCGCACCGTCCGGGAGCGTTCACCACGAAGCTCTCGGCCTCGCAGGAGATCACAGTGGTAGCTTGTCCATCGGAAGACGATCTGGAGGAAACCGAGAGCATTATTGTCGAGCGACAGTGGGACACGCAAATGCAGTACTTGATCAGTGTTGCAGGACGCAGTTTTCCTCTTGGTAGCGTTATGCCCATCAGCATTACATTTATGCCCTGGACCAAAATGAAGGTTCACCGCCTGTCGGTGTTGCTCGAAGGTACCTCGTTTCCCTCATCAATTCTCTGCGTTTGGCTGAAAAATGTGTGCTGGCAGAGCGTACCGACTACTGGACGGACTTTCGCCGCATTGTCCGGACAGACCCCGTCCTCCGTGTTCCGCTTCTTGCCCTTAAACAATCGCAAAAGGAGAGAGATGGACCCCCGCTCCTCCCTCTCGACCCGGACGATCCACAGGCGTTCGCGCGCTCGCCTCTGGCGACACTCGTTCCAGACGGGGAAGACGCGGGCGAATATGCTTCGAGTATGATGGGCCCTGGTCCATGGCGCATCCGGACGGACGTGCATCTGCCAGCTCCGTGCACCGCGCAACCAAACCCGAACTTGCACCTCCACTTTACGAATCGCAACCGGCGGAGCAACATCTTCATCACACATATGCTCAAGATCGTCTTTCGCGTCGAGCGCGGCGATGACCAGGCGGTGGACCCGCACTCGGGCAAGCGCAAGCTGTTTGACATCGTTGTCCAGACGCCGATACATATCCTCTCCGTGCGTGGCATATCTTTCCGGTTGTGGTGGGCATAGGCTGACCTCATTGATACGTACAGCACCTGTGTAATCACGAGTACCTCTCCCTCCCGCCATATTCACGCACCCTCGAATTGCAACCGTCGTACGAGCACGCGCGAGCTCCGGGGCGAAGTCAGTCGGCCCTCTTACCTGGCGCACGACGGCCTGTAGAGCGTACGGCGTCGGGGTCACACATCCCGCTGTCTGAACATCACCCGCATCCGAACCCGCACCAATCGCACATCCTTACACCGCCTCTTTCGCGGCAGAATTCCATCTTCGAGCGCGGGACGCAGTTTGAGCGGCTTGTCGCCGGGCAGGAGAGCGAGATCGGCGAAGCACCCCCGTCATATGAGGAGATCGTGCACGCGTAGTGATGTTGTCCGTGTTCGTTTTCGCTCGTGGTCCCTTGCACGGGAGACATGATCCATGCGTATTTACTGCTGATGAGTCTGTTCACATTTGTTTCCTAGAAGCTTCGTAAGCCTATGGCCCGCTTTCTCTTGCTCGGACTATGTTGTAGCCTAAACCTTGAATATTTCCATGGCCGCTCTTCGCAATGGCCGTACCCGTGTCTTATCTTATCTAGCTTCCGGCTTGAACCGCTAACCATGAAACTGAAGAAGTGAAAATCTTACTGTAGCTGACAATATGCAAGTACCTACAATATACATATAGAATGTGAATAACGATAGGGATGCAGTGATAATCTACGATGTACTTGGTGAGTATTGATGCGTGTGTGGGCGGTGGACTAGATCACTATGGCATTGCAGGCAAGCGGAAACCAGTCGTTCAGCCATCTGTGTGCATAGTCATCTGGGTCTGCGGTCGCTACGCACTCACGTCTCCATTGCCCACAGGACGATCCTGCTCGTCGCGATCTGGCGTATCGCGGCTGGGGGCCTCGGACAGCGTGCGCAGGACAGACAGTCTTCGCGAGCGAGGTGATTCGGGAGAAGACAGCTTCGCCGGGGCAGATTCCTCGTCGTGATACGCAGGCGTTTCCGAGGTCGGCGGTGGCTCGACGACATCAAAATCAGACGGAAGCATGACCGCGCGGTCGATCGCAACCGGCAGCCCGCGGTGGCGCCCACGCAGCATGACCGCGCAGATGATGAGCTTGGACAGGGGACTGAACGCGCCGGACAGCGAGAAGTTGTCCTGGATGGGTACAATCAAAGTATGTCAGCGAGAGCGGGCGCACGGAGACAGAGTAGACGGACGTAGGGAACACCGAGGCTGAGGCCGACACCACCGTATGCAGACACGGTCTCGAACACTGTGACGAGAAAGTGAGCGCGCGAATCTGGCAGGAGGCAGGCGCTACTTACGAACGTTAAAGATGTTGAACCACGTCGCGTTGGCAGGATTTTCGAGGCTGTCGCGCTAACAGTTGGGGCAAATTTTATAGGTGCGATAATAAGGGCTGTAAAGTGACGTACTTCGACGATGCATATCAAGACTAGCGCGACTGCTAGCCACCACATATCTTATGTGGCGGGTACTGAACAACATGTCCTGCGGAGCGAGGGGGTACTCACCAAAGGCAAGTTGTTTCCGCATGTGCATTGCAAGATATCGACTCCATACCGTAACCCGATTCCCGGCGGGATTGAAATTGACATCCACCGAGGACTGGTCGTCCTCAAAAACACCCAGTGACTTTTCTTCATAAACATTTGTCGAACGGACGCTGTGATCAAATAGGTTTCGTCGGTTCTTTCGTGCGCGAATGAAAGGCGTACCTCATAGCGACCGGGTCTGTTAGTGGAATGAGTAAGATTTCGGGAGTAGATGAGTGAGCATGACTCACATACGCTGATGTACATCATGATTACATAGAGTACCCTGAGATAATATAAGCAAGGGCCCCAACTATGGTCGTTCCACTGCTCACTTGACAGCTGGTGCCAGAGCAGCTAGGGGTACTATACCGAAGCCAGCTGCGCGAACGGCGACGGCCTGCAACATTCCGTCGATGACACGTACTCCGACGGGAATTGACCCAATCACAGAATTGCCGAGGTCCAAAACAAGGAAAGCGAACCAATCCGTCGTGCTAACACCGGTACTTCAGATTAATCATCACCACGAACGGGTGTCAAAACAGGCTTACTTGAGAATCGTCAAAATCGTCAGCAAGAACCATGTCTGGTGAGAAGGGAAAAGGTATATGAAGCAACGTCTAGGATGATCGAGTAGGAAATGCAAGGTCTCATTCAAGCGAGACTGCCGCGGCACTAGCTTGCTCAATATCCATCTAGTGGATCGTCAGCTATGCACTTGATGAATAGGAAAATCATACATTGTAAATCGTAAACTAGGAACGGGATACCGTCCGATCAAAAATTATAGCGTGAATGCCTACATCTTCAGATAGCACGGTGTATATGCACTTACAATATAGGCTGACAAGAATAGATCAGCCAGTAAATGCAAGCACATAGAAAGCGAGCTCACAAAAGCAGTGTTGCCAGCCAAGATCACGAATATCATGGCCACTATCATTGGGTACGCTTCTTGAAAGGGTAACATGGATTGATCCACCAGCGACATTCCCGCATTCGTGTACGCGGAGGCCACCTGAAATGCGGAGAACCTGTATGCATCGTTAACAGAGCTGACCTGCGGAGGAACACAACGAGGGAACCATACCAAATAGGCGAGGTATTCCTGAATAACTGCGGGGTCTTAAAATCCGCGCTCCAGCGAGGTATCGATACATAAGGCGCAATGATGGTGAAAGCCATTAACTGCGTCACCAGATGATACTACAGCGATGTCAGCATCTCTAAGACAAATATAGCATCTAGAAAAGTCACCCCTCCAACAATCCAAAGCAGGGCCCCAAGCGCACGGTATTCAACTCCTCCGAGCTCCTCCAGTTGCTCGTGTGTCAGCCTCTTAAACGTTGAGTTGCGGCCGACGACCGCCTCGAAGCTTATATACGACACGGGCCGGGCCCCTGGCGCCACTGAACCGTGTTGGGAAACAATTGTTCGCGTCCGCGGCATTGTAACCGTGCGGGTCAACTTTCGCTCCAGTTTGGGGAAAAAATGCCTGAACAGTCTAGAGAGGATCTCAAATGGCATGGGAAAGCCGCCAAAGCCGGTATCCATCACTCGGGGAGGATGCGAGTGCAAAGACGCTCTCGACTCGAATGTATGCGGCATCGATATGGTTGGTCTGTGCATGGACCCTTACCAAGACTGTTGGTAAACAATTACAAGACAGTGCGCTAAACGGTGAACAGCTCACTACGATCGTGTGGAGTCGAATAGTCGGTGATGGTGCCCTGTTGGGCCAATGAGTTGACCCGACCCCCAAACTCACCGAAAGAACGAGCAGAGCGCAACGGCCGAGGGGTTGCAGCAAATTCGATTGTTTGCGTTCTCGGCAAGTAGCCTTGCCTGTTGGGTGAGGCAACGGACACAGAAATCGAACGCGGTAGCCTATCTCCTTGCCCTAGAGAACATCATCAGATCACAATATTGTCACGTTGTATATCACAGACCAGATTTGTGCAATTCGGACATCATAGGTGGCACTTGGGGATCCGAAAGAACTCGCCGCCGACTAAAAAATTATAATCTGCAAGTGAGACGCTTGCACGACGAATAGACGCACTTTTGTTCCTCCTCCTCGTCGCCAGCCCCGTGGTGTTTGCTATCTGAAACATCTGACTCCAACTCGGTCACAGACGCAGAGCGAGGTGAACCTTGGAGAGCAGGTCCATCCACAGGCGCAGGGCTTTCTATGTCTGAAAACGTCAAGAACTGCGGCGAAGAGGAGACGTCTCCATGAGGTGCTTCACTTGTTGCGTGGCCCCTAGTGTCCATACGAGCTTCGCTGATCCACCCGCTCGGATTGATTCTGCGCGGTGCATCATCCATCCTACGAATCATATCTGGCCGTAGACGCGACGTCTGCGCCCCTCTATGGTCAGGAGTGGAACTACTTCCACTATCATTAGCATCGCCGGAATCCAATTTTGTCTGGCCGAAGACAATATTTGCTGCTCTACGCCACCACGGAACTAACTTGACTTCCACGTGTTTGTGCGATTGACGAGACAACTTGCGTGCCATGTCAGCTTCCATGAAGCGCTGGAATTTCTTCGCAAAGAAGCTCCTACGTGACAGCTCAGCAACGGCTCCACGTTGTGCATAAGAACCTACCTCCGTATATACACCATTACCCATGACACCACTACCTATAAAAAGGTTCATAACGCCTCCAACACATAGGAGTGTATCACTGACAATGTTTCCAAGGGACAACTGTATGAACAACAAAGCCTGCTGGAATGGCGTCATTCGGCTGAGATCGATGCTTGCGAGGCCGCAGACGGCGAAGGCGCTGACGGAATTGAAGAGGCAGTCGATGTAGGCGATGTGGAATTCTCCATTGGCCGCATATATGATGGCAGAGAATATCAGAGGCGCAAAAAGGCTGCGAGAGATAGGTGTTTAGCGATCTGCGTGACCACAAAAAAAGCAAGAAGCACGATCGCAAAAATAACAAGAGCACTAGATCTGCGTGTCGTTACAATGATCACTCGAGTGCATAAGTCGCTTGGTTCAGGAGGAACCTCCCCAACGAGATTCACCCAGGGGATCTCGCGTCGCTTGTTAATTGAATCTATAAATCACAACCCTGCATAGTGGATCTTGTCCAGGAACAACTGGCCTTGATCCATAGTTTCAAGCCAAGAGCCGCTGCTACGCCCAGTCTGCTCAGGTTGACAAATTCTATCCTCCCGCGCTATCACCCCACAGTTACCTTATACACGAACTGACATCTAGACCTGCAATCCAGATACATGAACCGATACCACACACGTCAGTACACAACAGCTAGGGCTTGATACCCGGGTCCTCGTGTGCTCGATCATAGAGACATTGGACTGCACTAGAGTCTGGGAAAGAACACTCACAAGACAAGGATGTGGACGCGGTAGAAGTTCAGATGCCCCCGGAAGTACCGCCAGATGTTCGAAAGCCAGTTCCACGACTTCCGCGAAAGACGACGGGACGGCAGCGAGGGCATGCGCGGCGGGCGTTCCGACGATCAATGGGTTTTGGAGGCTGGCGCCAGGCGAGGATGGTGAAAACAGACGAGAAAGTTTCCGAACAAGCTTCGGAATTTGGGTCGTGTTAGCTCACGAATTGCATGGGAAGGGAGACAGCAAAGGGGCCGAGGGCAGGAGGTGAACGGCAAAAATGACCACTGCAGGAACCAGCCACCGGACAGCCACCGTACGCCGGACGGAGATAAAATTAATGGTACACTCCGCTTAGATCTCCTCTCGATCCCCTCGTCGAATTGTATCTCCGATTGTTTCATTTCCGGCTCCGCTAGCCGTGTCGTCATTTGGTTGCGGAGCAACACAGCATGAGCTCCATGGCATATAGCTTCTCGCAACGCGTTTCGATATTTAAAAAAATGATGAGTATATATCCGAGCTAAAATAGCTACTTAGCTTTCCTTCGTGTTAGACCAAATCTTCACTGCCGCGAGCGGCGGATACGGCTGAAGCAACAACTGGTTCAAGAAAGAAAGGGGCGACTGCTATGTAAAGGGGTGACCTGGTATTGATGAATGTTCGTCCATTAAGAAAAATAGAACAATTACATTCATTTTGTCGCAAAAAATGACCCAGCGAGTGCGTACACAACATACCAAACTCGGAACTGGGCTGCCTAGTTCAACTTAACGTATGGCGCTTGATTCGAGCTCAGAACACCCGAGTCGATAGCAACAAAGTTCCATTGATATGCATACTTCACCTGCCCCCAACCCCTTCAGCCTGAGGTGCGAGAGTTATAACACCTCGAGCAAGACTTTTGCTCTTCGTCCGTTTGAAACGTATTTTCTAACATGGTCCCGACGCCGATGGAGTCAAGAGGAAGGTGCGACACAATCGCGGTCAGACTAGAAAGAATAAAGGAGAAAATGTGATGGATATGTCGATACCGCAATCTCCGCCTTCCATGCTTCCGATAATATACCACGACAGGCCAAAGTGTGCGCGTGTAAACATTCGAAATTGTCGGACAGAGATGACACGTCGTAATGAATGTATCTTTCCTCTCCTCGGACTTAAAGCTAACCCAGGCGAACAACACAATACTTGCAAGTTTTGCAATACTGTAACGTCCGCCTAGACTTGTTAGGTATGCGTAATACTTCAAGCCACAAAGCATTCATAGACCATACGGGTACGCATCGCAGAGGCTCGTGATATTACAGTGTCTACAAATCATATATGTACATCCAAACGCGCAAGGTATCATAGAAGAATCCATGCCCAATCTACCAGCCGCAACACATCTACAGCTTGCTCTCGTTGAACTTGGCACCGGCGAGGGGTTGGTCTGTGTAGAGCGATCAGCGAACGCACGATGATCCCAATAGAGCACACACGCACAAGTTTGTTGGAACAGGTTGTCCTGTGGTGTCATCACGATGTGCGACGACAACGCACTCGCGTCAACCATCTCCGGGACCAGCTCGTCGATCGTCCGCGCGCCCAAGAGGCGCATGTTCATCTCAAACTCGTCCTATGGCCCAATGTCAGCATCGCCGCGGAGCATCACAACCCGCGGAACCACGCACCCTGAAGATCTGGATCGCCTTTTCCACACCCTCCTGACCGTAGCTACAGAATGCGTACAGGAATGGCCGGCCAACACCAACGGCCTTCGCCCCGAGGGCAAGTGCCTTGAGCACATCGCTCGCGCGACGCACACCGCCGTCGACGAAGATCTCGAACTTGGGGTCGGGGAAGTAGCCGCGCGCGCGCAGGGCCGCGGTCACCTCGACGAGGATCTCGAGACCAGATCGCGCGGTGTCCAGCTGGCGACCACCGTGGTTGGAGAGGACAATACCCTGGACGCCCGCCTCATACGCGAGGATGGCGTCCTCAGCCGTAGCAATACCCTTCAGGATAATGGGCACTGTGGATGGATGGAGTCAGCGTGCGCACACGGAGAATAAGTGCAGAGCGCGCACTCTTTGTGATGCTCTTAAACCAGGGAATGTCCTTCCATGAGAGGCTGGGGTCGATGAAGGACTAGAAAAACAAGGTGAGCGGAGCAGCAGCATAACAGGAATGAGAGACGGACGCTGATGGCGCGGGCAACGCCCTGATCTTTCTTGACACCGTCCTGGCCCTCCTGGACTTTGGCGACGCCATCATCGCCAACAAATTTCATGCGCATATCCTTCTCGCGCCTGCCGAGTTGGGGCGCGTCGACGGTGATGAAGAGCGCCTTGACGCCCCGCTTCTCCGCGTGCTGCACATACTTCCTCGTAATCTCGCGATCCTTGTTCACGTACCTGCACCAGCATCAGAACGAGTCAGTAACCAAGTACGCTTGGCTTGCAAATGCGGCACGTACAACTGCAGGTAGAGCGTCTGGTCGGGCTTGGCAGCGTCGACGATCTCGTCAAACGAGCACGACGCCAACGTCGCAATCTGGAACCATGGGCGAGTCAGCGCCTATGACAGTGCTCAGCGAGAGTAGTAGATCGCACCATCTGGATCACCCCGTGGTTTGCCGCTGCCCGAGTAAGACAGAGTTCACCCTCTGGGTGCCCGAGCTTGCCAAGTGCAGTCGCCGACTGATTCAATGGCATTCAATTGCAGTTCACATGATTCTTTCAGATGCACTTACAATGTAGACGGGGAGACTGGATTTGTGTCCGAGGATCGTCGTCGACCAGTCCACCACGGTCACGTCCCGGAGTATGCGTGGACGGAACCAAACGCTAGCACCAAGATATGAGTTCACATCACATTGTGCAGGACAGATGGCCTTACCGCTGGTACGCCATCCTGTTCTCACGAATGGTGATCTCATCGTCGGACGCAGACGAGTAATAGGCCTGTCGCACAAATAAGAACGGCGCTTGGCATGCAATCAAGCTGACAGAAGACATACCCAAGCCTTCTCCGTGATGACCTGGCGCGCGACAGACTGTGTAGCAGAGACGTGAGCTCATACGGTCGAGGAAGGAGACTCATGCAACTCACCTCGAAGTCGTGCATGTTGATGATGCTGTCGAGGGGTGGCCGCGCTGCGAGGAACTTCTGCCGCCGCTTCTCCTCCTCAGTCACCTCTTGGACAACCTTGGCTACTGTGCTCGCATCGATGACGCCAAGGCTTCAGAGGACAATAAGGGTCGATAGGCACTCTGATTCAGAGCAGACACTTACTGCTTCTCGGGGCGCAGGTTTGTCGTGATCGCATCGGGAGGGTGGATGGGCTCGTAGGCAACCCTGAAGACCAATCAGCATGCGTCCTCATTCCCAGAGTACTATTGAGTGTTCTTACGTCGCATCCTTCCCGGCGTACTTAAGGATGATGGCCTGGCCACCCGGGTGCTCTGTGACAACAATCAGCACTGACGGCAATGTACCCGCTGCGCACAATGCTCACCAGGTAAAAACTCAGTCACGTCGTAGACTTTGCCTATTTTCGATGAGCTGTCAGTCCACACACGGGGAATGATCGGAGCAAGCAAGGCTTACCATGGACGATGATCCAGCAGTCGTCCCGACTGGCGTGGGCAGCAACTTCGGGACCGGTGAGGACACGGACGTCGGACATTTTGGTGGATGGCGGGTATGAGGGGGTGGAGAGACTTCTAGGCGAGCTGGAGGATGGGGCTCAGCAGCGCAGCGCCTGTGTCTTTTCAACGTCGTCGCCCGGAGTCTGCGGAGTCTCCTGCTCCAGCCGATCTCGTACAGGCACTCCAGTCCCGCTGTCAATTGTATAGCGCAGGGCGCGCGGAATCCGTGAGGCGGGGCCGCGCGCGAACATAGAGAGCAGACATTCGGTGTTAGATCGGTGGGGCGCTTTGCGCCCTTTGGGCAATCTGCGTGATTTGTGTGCAGCGCGAGCAGAGACCACTCAGGGAAGAGGCTCGCGTCGTGCTGGTCGGGGATCCTGATTATGCCGACGGCGAGAGCGAGCCCCGGAAGCACGATTCCGTGCCCTTGCTGCCCGCATTGCAGAGTCCCTCAGCGAGTGTAATTCCTGTTCCACTCACCAGCTCCGCTGCGAGCATCCGTCGGAGAGGATCCTCTCTAACGCCGTCAGAATCACCGGGTGTGCGGTCATTAGTCAAGTTTGAATCACAAAAGCCACAGTTACATGTGGAAAGATACATGAACATGCACGAGAATCCCTAGATAGGCCGATGATGCGAAATTGAGCTTCTCTGACTATTCAATACGGTGCATGCTCCGAACAGAAAGTGCGGGAGTAGAGTTGGAATCTTCAGGCCTTGGGCCTCCGGGAGTGGGTTGAACGACCGTAGAACCAGTAGATCCGTAGGCGTGAGGCTCCACGAGGGGACTCCCTATCACAATCACTAGATGTGAATCCTTTCTAACGCCGTCCGAGAACGAGATTGAAGTTCAAACTTGTTACTTGCTAGAGCTGGAGCAGAGCGACGCGGCGCTGGTGTGGACGGTCACCGTGTCATGCCCGGGCGCTCGCTAATTTACACTTGTAAAATAAGTATGGTAAATTTGTGCATGGCATCCATGCTACTTTCAAGACATTTGTTTGAGTAACGGATAATAGCAACCACAGAGATTTCTACGAACAATGACGTCGCAATATAGCACTCCAAAATGATCAAGGGCACCATTGAGACCGCCGGGGGCCCACGAGCGTCATGCGCCGTGGCGGCCATTTCAAAACAAGGTCTTTGGGGCCTCAACCTACTTTTGACTGCAATTTACAGGTTTAAGTTTCAAGGTGTGAATTCCTCTGCCAATCTAGGGCGATGGTGACTTGCAATTGGAGCCTGTGGCGCCGGCGCTTACATAACACTTGCTTGGTCAATTCCTGCCCCAAGCTGAAGACTCGGACGAGTCACTGGTACACATGGCAGCATGCTTGTTTGGCAAATGGATCCAAAATTGAATGTAAATCCGCTCCAGTCATCAGGTGCTGAAGCGGTGTGTGCATTCAATCATGGAGCGACAGAATGTCTTGCTCGGGAGAATTGCTCACATGCAACTTGAACTAATCACTGCTGGCACTCACTTTCCTCGAGCGACAATGCCGTACCAGGACCCAGCAGCAGTCACCCAGGGCATTCCACAAAGTTGAAGTCGAGGCTGAATCAAGTCGTCGGGAAAGCAGTGTGTGAGATTGGGTAATGGGCAACTCGTGTTGCCAAGCCCGGATATGAAGAGCAATACAACCCCACCAATTGAATCCGAGGGCTCCGACTCTTTCGAGCTTTGTCAATCACGAAGACCAGATCCTGATCAGGCTCCCGAGAATCTTAAGCGTCGCGCGTAAAACTCTCCCGGTGAAACATTCCTTATGTAAATAACTCATGCCATCTGCATTGTGGCTAACCGCATGCGATACACAGTTGCTGCTCCTTTGGACAGTGCTTCCAGCGCAAGCACAGTCCGATGAAAAGGGCAAAGTATGCATATACGAATGGTGAGTCGTGGCCATCTTCTTCGCGGACGGAGACTTGGCACGATAAGACCCGTGCACCACCCAAACGCCGCGTGCAGAGCTGGTATCCTCTTCAGGGCGCTTCGTTGGCGCGTTTAGCTGACTGTTGTCCTCGAAGATGCGGGGGAGCGAGATACGATGTTGCCAAGCATGCTAGGGATGGAAATTGCGCCCTTCCCCTCCGCCAAGTGACCTCGGTAGTCTTGGAGTCGATGGCACCAGCGTCGCTCCGACGTGCACACCGGGGCAGCACCTGTCGGCATGAAGAGCCTCGGGCGGCCTCCGCTTCCCTTCTGGTCTATTCCCGCTCTATCGCCTTTCGGAAACGAGAATCCTCCTGCCCGACTTCATACGGTCTGCCACACCAGGCTGCGTTGTTACGCGTATTTGCGCCCCAAACCATCGATCTCTGACAGGCTCATGGAGTGACCTGCGTTCTATTCTCTTCTCGCATCCTACCGGAATGTACCACCACACGCATATAAGCACACAACCCGCTGGGATCAGCCCAACAACCCACCGGGATTAACCCAACCACCCACTTCCGTCTCAACTAAATCCTCTCCGTTATCTTTATAACCCCCCTTCTTCACTCTGTCAAAATGCCAGGCTTCGAGTACCACCGCGAGACCGAAACCGTCCAGCCCTCGGCAGACACTCCCCCCGCCTCCGAGCCCGTCTCCCCAGTGAGCGGGTCCCATGAGGGCGTGTATTACAACCCCCGCCTCGACCCCAAGAACTTCCTTGAGGGCCCTCTCTCCCACAACCCCGCCACCCGCCTCCGCCAAATGCTCGCGCGCCCCGGCATCGTGGTAAGTAACGTTGTGTGCGTACTCGCCACTCTTGATCTAACCGTCCGCATGACAGGTTGCGCCAGGAATCTGCGATGGCATCAGCGCGCGCTGCGCCCTCGAGGCTGGGTTTGATTGTATGTACCAAAGGTAGCGTCCCCATCTACCTGCTCTCCAATCGTCGCACTCACGCCCCGCGCTCCCAGCGGCGCTGCGACGACCGCATCGCGCCTGGGCATGCCCGACGTGGCGATCGCCACCCTCAACGACTTTGTACAGAGCGCGCAGATGGTCTGCAGCCTCGACCCCACCGTCCCCGTCATCGCGGACGCGGACACCGGGTGCGTCTCCCGTGTCCCTCCTTTGCAGCGGGCACGCGCTTACCTTCGCTCACAGATTCGGCGGGCCCGCTATGGTCGCGCGCACAGTGACGCAGTACGTGCGCGCCGGCGTGGCTGGCTTCCACATCGAGGACCAGGTGCAGACGAAGCGCTGCGGGCATCTCATGGGCAAGCAGGTCGTCTCGCGCGAGGAGTTCCTCCAGCGCATCCGCGCCGCGGTCATCGCGCGCGACTCCATCCCCGGCGGCTCGGACTTTGTGAGTCCTCTGGCTTGTCTATGTGGGCTGTATCCTGACGTTAGGACAGGTCATCATCGGGCGCACCGACTCGGCACAGGTCCTCGGCATGGAGGAGGCCGTCACGCGGCTGAAGCTTGCGGCCGACGCTGGTGCGGATGTGTGCTTCATTGAAGGTGTGAAGACAGCAGAGCTCCTCAAGGACACCGTCGCCGCCCTCGCGCCTAAGCCGGTACGTCTCCGCGCACACACCGTCTGAACGCTGATTACTGACAACTTGGTGCTACAGGTGCTCGTCAACGTCATCTCTGGCGGGCTCACGCCGTCGTTCACGTGCCAGGAGGCGGAGGCGTTGGGCGCGAAGATCATCAGTGAGTCTCCTGCCTGCGCTCGTGCTCAATGTGTGACTGACTCTGCATACAGTCTTCTCCCTTGTTTCATGTGTCGCAGCGGTCCATGGCATCCGCGAGGCAATGCGCTCGCTGAAGAAAACCGGCACGGACTTCTCGTCCGCACGGGGAATGGACCCGAAGGCATTCTTTGAAGTGATGGGTCTCAACGACGTCATCTCACTTGATGCGCGAGCGGGCGGTACCGCATTTGAGGTCGTCTAAGCCACTCCGAGGACGCTGTTGCTCGCGTTATTGTTGCATTACGCATTTTTTTGGTTACTCCACACGCGTTTCGTATCATCTGCATAGTTTCTGGTTGGCTTGTCATTACATATGTGTGTCTTAGAAGTACATTGCGCAATCCATCCTAATTTTTAATAGATTGAAGGTGGCGACCATCAGCAGGCCAGGATGAGTAGGGCTCGTACCCAGACGTGTCAGTACTGGCGCGTCTGGGTACGAAGCTAGTCATGGTGGTGAGACTTCATTGCTCTTGCGCCAGTTCCCTTTACTTGCACGAGATATAAGGTCATCCAGGCGACAAACATTGGACATTGGATCTGTCGAGCTTCGTGTATCCTCCGATTTGAGCGATGGTTCACACACTTGCACATAGGCACGCCCGCATCACAGCACACATCGGGTACACAATCCACGGAACCAGATAAGGAGCGGTATATACAGAGGATACAATCGGCAGCGCGAGAGAACGAAAATTACCGGAGCAGCAGCGCATACATTGCTGAACATCGGAGCTCTACATGCGTGGTTTGATCTCCCGCAGGCGCACGGACTGCATCGTCTCGTCTATAGGACGTTGTCAGCGACCGACAAACATAAGTAGGAGCGGCAAACTCACAGTTCGCCTCATACAGCCGGTCGGACGGGACGGCAACGATGTGCTGGTGGATGGACGATGCATCAACCATCTCGGGGACAACCTCCGCGATACTGCGCGCGCCCAGGAGCCGCATTGACATCTCAAACTCGTCCTGCCAGCAGCGCAATGGTCAGCAGTAGCGGGACAGTGGAGATGGAGGGACACACGTTCAAGATCTGGAGCGCACGCTCGACGCCATCCTGGCCGTACGAGGAGAACGCATACAAGAACGGCCGACCAACGCCCACTGCGGCAAATTAACGTCAACGCAGAGCAGAAGAGCAGCCGTGCCACTTACCAGCGGTGGCACCGAGCGCGATTGCTTTTAGCACGTCTGTCGCGCGGCGCACGCCGCCGTCGACGAATAGCTGGAAGCGTGCGTTCGGGAACGTGAGCCCGCGCTTCTCCTTGAGGTGTGCGACGACCTCGACAAGCGTTTCGAGCCCCGAACGCGAGAACTCAAGCTGCCGGCCACCGTGATTTGACAGTACGACACCCGCAAGCCCTGCGTCATACGCGAGAAGCGCGTCCTACGGGGGGAGTTAGAACGCGTTGCAGATGGCAGACGGCGCCGCTCACCTCCCAACACTGGACCCCCTTGAGGATGATAGGCACTGTCGCGCGTGAGCACGCGCAGGGGCGGACAGACAGATGAGCACTCACTGGTTGTGATAGATTGGAACCAGGGGATGTCGGCCCAATCGAGGCCGGTGTCGATAAAAGACTAGAGCGCAATCAGCATTGCGCACGGCGACCAACGGATGACTCACGCTGATGGCCCGCGCTGCGCCCTGCGAGCGGTCGACCTTGTCCGAGACTTTGTTATCTGTTACCTCCGCAGGATCCTCAGCCTCGAATTTCATGCGCATATCCTAGAGGAGCGTCAGCGCTACACCACGGTGCACAGCGGGAACACGCACCTTCTCGCGGCGGCCAAGCTGGGGGGCATCGACGGTGATGAAGAGTGCCTTGACACCGCGTCGCTCTGCGTGCCGCACAAACTTTTCAGTGATGGCGCGGTCTGAGTTGACATATCTGGAATGGGGTCAGCGCACGCATCTCTGGGCTACGTGCGACGTACAGCTGGAGGAATTGCACCTGGCCGGGCGCAGCGGCATCGACGATCTCGTCGAACGAGCACGAAGCGAGGGTCGGGATCTTTGGCGCGAGCTGTTAGCGTAGATAGCACGAGCGGGCGAAGGAAGTGCACCATTTGGATGACGCCGTGCTTCGCGGCCGCACGGGTCAGATTCAGCTCGCCATCGGGGTGGCCCAGTTTCCCGAGCGCGGTGGCGGTCTAAAGAACAGATTAGAGTATGCACAGCTCGTAGGGAAGGCGCAAATAGCGGCGACGCACGATGTACAAGGGCATCTTGCTCGCGTGGCCAAGGATGCTTGTCGACCAGTCCACGTGCGTAACACTGCGCAGGATGCGGGGGCGGAACCACACACTGGGCACAGGTGTCACTTGCACTCGCGCTGGGAACAAGGACGGGGACGCACCGGTGGTACGCGGCGTGGTTTTCGCGCAGTGTGATCTCATCGTCCGCGGCGGAGCTGTAGTACGCCCACGCCTTCTCCGGGAGCACCTCCCGCGCAATCGCCTGCCAACCACAGCTGTCAGGGCTCGCCGCAAACGTGCCAGCACTCTCTTACCTCAAAGTCGTGCAGACTGAGAATCTCTCCGAGCGGGGGTCGCTGCTCCATACGCGTCAGGCGCGCCTTCTCCGCGTCCGTCGGGGCCGCTGCAACTTGCGTCACAGTAGCGGGGTCGACGGCACCCAGGCTGGCAGAAATGAAGATCAGTGACTCAAAAATCTGTGCGTGTTGGTGCGTACTTACTGCTTCTCTGGGGGAAGATTGTCCGTAATGGCGTTGGGAGGATGGATGGGGTCGTACTCGGCGCTGTGGGACGTCAGCACGGCAGGCGGTACGAGAAACGGGCGGCTTACGTCGCATCCTTGCCTGCATACTTGAGAATAATTTTGCTTCCGCCTACGCGCACTATCAGTCGGCGCCGGCTAGTTTGCTCATGCAGCTGCGTTACACGCACCAGGATGTTCTGGGGAGCAAGTTAGAACACTCGCGGGACGGAGAAAAAATGCACTAACCTGGAAGGAACTCGGTCACATCATACACCTTCCCTGTTCACAGCCGCTTCGTCAGAGCGAGAAGAGCGTACGAGGGCGAGCACGCACCATGTACAATGATCCAGCAGCTCTCGCGCGAGCTGTGCTCGGCGATCTCCTTCCCAGAAATTGTCCTGCTCATCTTGGTGGTCAATAGCAATCAGCAATAGCCAGTAGCAAGCAGCAGGCACAGAGCGAGCAGAGTGCGTAATAAGGAGTTCCCGCCGCGGTGGGACGCTGCTCCATGCCGTGAACTGTAGGCAACGCGGCGGCCCGTAGTCCCGGCGGAGGCGGAGCCTCTGCGGGCGCCCGTTGCTGCCTCCGCCAGGCGCGCCCACGGGCCACCATGTTGCTTCATGCAGTGTTGTCGTCGACCCCGTCAATCAAGGGAGTCAAGTCAGACTTGCCAGGGTTGTCAATCAAGCCTGGTGAGAATCAACATTAATTACTATGTCATTCAATGAGAAAAAATGAGATAGACCAAATTGGCATGAATTACATAATTTGGCTTTCCTCACCCATTTTCAATGCAATTCATTGAGTGACCCAGTTTCTTAATTTCATTGATGTCACATTCCACTGGGAGCCAGGCCTGACCCATCAATGTGCAAGGGTGATAAAAGCTTTTTAGCACTAGACAGATTGTTCTTTAATGTATCCTATCAATTCAAAAATTAAGACACTGGCATGCCGCAGCCACTTATTGAACGTGCCATTGACGGTCGTGTGGCGTACACGCCAGAGTGGCATATAAAACCAAATAGTACCGCCACTTACAACCCAACAAATCATCCAAGTCTCTTCCCACTATCGTCTAGTATTCACATTGAAAAATAGTCACAATGGATTCTTCTAGTGGATTGTTGGATCTGTCTCTCGTACAGGACTTGTCCGTTACAGAGAATCGGGGCCTTGCCGCAATAAATCCCAAGCTTATTCCTCGTCTCTCGATGCACGATGCAATGCCTATTTCTACGGATTCGTACGCGGCCGCATTGTTGTTGGCTGCTATTGCATTTCATAGTACCGAACTCGACCCGCGGTTGGGAAATGTGGAGGTGTGCGAACGACTTTGCCAACACTCAGATTTGAGGGAGATATTGGCCAATGCATTGAAGACACAAGATTTTTCTACGGTACTCCGTCTCAGTATGTAACTCGTTTCCTTGGTCATTTCACGTGTGCGGTAACTGTATATACGCAGAGATACTTCGACGTCCCGAGAGCCTAAACCGTCAATCTTTAGAACGCGGTCAATCCCGGGTTTAAAATGCCTTAGAAAATGAGCTAACTTGCTTTGTTAGCCATGAGGGCCGCATGGGAAATGCCATTCCACGGCCACTCCCATGAAGTGTTGTTACACAGCATACAGAATATGATGGAACTCCTGAAACCTGATCACTTTTACGCAAACCATCTGCCCATCATCCAAAGTTCTGGAACTGGAAAATCTAGGATGGTGGACGAACTCGCACGTCTGATTTTCACCATCCCTTTCAACGTCCGCGAATCGGTTGATAAAGGTTCGTAGTTTTTACCCGACCTGAAGTATGTCAAATTGGTAACGAACACTTCTACAGGCTTTCCTTTCCCTCATTCAGACAGCGCAGTGAGGAACTTTCTTGTGGACACTAAGTTTAAGACCTGGGAAGGCTGTCGCGATGCGTATCATGTGTTTTTTGAGAAGCTTTTCGATCAGGTCTATGATTGGCTGGATAGGAATTGGGGAGACACTCATTTCCAAACATCTCGAGATTTCGCGTCGACATGGAGGGAGCAACTCGCTACAGAAGCGACTGGCGGTAAGCACATGCGAGGGATTCTATATGATACCGTGATAGATGTGCGTATTCCAGTAATGCAGGTTTCTTTTCACAATATTTCAAGCTAATGTGTGGCAGAACTGTCATCTCCCCGAGAATGTGGATCTCCACGCTGCAAAAGACCGTACTGTGAAAGCAGGGAATCGACTCGCGACATGGATCGCATCGCATGTCGACGGACAAAAAAGTCCAAATGGGTCTTCGCATGTCAAACAACCCGGAGATTCGATGAGGCACCCACGTGTCAATGAACGCCCAAGGTCGAAGAGGACGGCCCAGTTCATCATATATTTCGACGAGGCTCACACCTTGGCCGATGCATATCTCAGGACACAGGTTGACGGCAAGCTAAGATCACGCTTCCACGCGTTGTGCGCCGTGTTAAATGACTTGCTTACTGTTGATCTGTTCGTCATCACACTTTCAACTAACTTCACTTTGCATAACCTTGCCCCTACTCGTGACAAGCATCATTCGGAGCGTGTCAGCTCGGGAGGGGATTTCCTTCAGTCGCCATATACTGAGCTCCCGTTTGATTGTCTGCACAAAGGAAAGCCGCTCATCGGACATGGTGAGAAAACGCTGGCAGATGTGTGCAACCACGAATTCTCATCTCAGTTCGGACGTCCTCTGTCAGTTGTCGTCTGTTATACCGACGCTAGTTCATTTCCTAAAGCTGTTCTTAGGTGGTACGCGGTGTTTCACCATGGAGACCCGAGCGTTCGCGAGTCATTAACTGACATCGCCATATCCAAACTTACTGGAGTCGACAATTACGATCCGTCACGGATGACTACCGTTGGCACCCAGAGAACCCAAATAGAATTGGCAGCTCTAAGCTCGCGCCTGTTACTTGATATCGAGCC